GTAATGACTGCATGGCTCAAGTAAATTATATGCTTGGCACAGGGTTAGTGACACCGATTTTTTCCCTTTTGTCTGAACAAGTGATCGAACTCTTTTCAGAGTTGGTGGCGTACATGCCAAGTGTCTGATTTTAAGCTTTTTTGGTTTTATCTTTAGTCTGAAATGCAAGCAGAGCTGTAACTAGATACGGAGATTGTGTTTGTGCTGGTTATTACAGGATGAATAGTTAACTTGATTCCTCAGGTGTTTTTGTTGCCAGCTGTGTTGCCTAGAGTAATTCATAATTGTTACCTGTTTTAAGTTTGGCTTTGCAGGTAGAAGGCCAAACTTACACATATTAAGGTTAAACTGGCATGGCTTATTGCCACTGCCGTGTGTAGGCATGAACCTTCTCTGGAAAGTAATTCTTCAGTTATGCTAATAACAATTAGTCTTGATTAAAAGTTGTTATACTGTAGTGCATCATATTTCAATATCTCAAGTGCTTGATGTTAGTGCTTTTTAAATAGCCCACCATTTTTTCCTGGCCCTTTTAAATAATTCATCTGTAGGTCTGCACATGAAGGTCATAAGAGTAGTAGGGCTCAGACTTGTTAAAATTTTGAAGTGGGCTTTTTTTCATTTCTCTCCTGAATAGAACATGTTTTTGGCCATTATCAATGATACATACTCTGAAGTCAAATCGGATATGGCACAACAGAAGGCAGAAATGGAACTCTCTGACCTTATCAGAAAGGTAAAAATAACATTTTGTTTGACAACTCATTCCTCACATCTGAACTTAGTCCATAAAATGCTATATAAACCGTACAAATACACATCTTTTAGTTTAAAATAAATGAATCTGAGCTGAGTGTAAATTAAATAAATGAAAACTTGCCATCACAATGTATTTTAGTTATCTGAGACTTTGTGTTGAATGATCAGCCTACTGAATATGACATAGGATTTGTCTGTCTAGGTACATACAGAAATACTGAACTGATTAAGCTAAACTGCTATTTGTTTTGGTCACAGAATTCAGAATTACCTTGTTTTAGGCAATAACATGAGGGAAGTCTTGGGTAATGTGTTGGGAGCTCCCAGGGGCAGCTGCCAATAAGGTTGTTGAATACAAAGTTAAGAGCTTGACCTGAATCCCAGTTTAGGAAAAATACGTGCACGTGTGTGCATTCTGGCATGGATGCAGTGCTGTACCGTGGTCAGAAACATCTAAATGCATGCTCAGCATGACTAGTTAAAACTTGGAAACTGGTTATTAAAACAAAGCAGAGAAAAATGAGAAGTGCTGCTTTGTTGGGATGAGGACTTTTTTTAGAAGTCATTCCTACAACTGAAGAATGAGAGAGAAGCAAAATGACCACAGAAAGTTGTACTTGTTTTGTCAGCATTATTTAAAACTGTCACTTAACTGTCAGTAACTGCCAAAGGTGTCTTACTGGGACAAAATACTCCATTACTACTGACCTGCAGTGCAAATTGAATGATGAAAGCCTTACCTTTAACTGCAAAGGTATTTGTATGTTGCCCATTTAAATGGGCACTGAAATAAAAGATGGATAAACTAGAGGACGAGAAAGACTCTTGCAGGGCTTTTGGAACATACTGAGTGATAGTGTACACTAGCTGATTTTCGTAATCAAAAAAGTTACTAGAAATAAAGTGTTAACATTTCATGACAAGTAAAACATGAAATTTCACTTTCTTTTAGGGCTACAACAAAGCCATGATCAAACTTAAATTGAAGAAAACTACTGTTGATGACATTTCAGAAAGTCTGAGACAAGGTGGGGGAAAACTAAATTTTGATGAACTCCGGCAAGATCTAAAAGGGTAAGGAAGTTGTTACTTCTTATCTTGAATAGTATCCCCAGAGACATGTGATGCAAGCCTTTGATGCGAGTTTCTCTTGCTTCTGTGATGTTGTATGTTAATGTGAATAAAGACAACACAGCAAAGTACTTTTCTTTTGGTTTGTGGGTAGCAAAGCATGTGCTTTTCCTGTATCTGGTGGGAGGTTTATGTAAAAAAACGGATGTGTACAGGTAAACAATCTTTGCATATGGGTCTGCAGGCATTGCACAAAGGAAAATTCAAACTGTGGCATGGAAGTGCGGAAGAAGAGAGAAGAGTGGGAAAAGAATGGTCAGTTTGAGGTGGAAGAGAAGTCTTAACTAAGGAGGTCTGCTGAGCTCTGGCCCCTGGAGTCTGCACTATGACTGGTGTTGCTGCGGTGGGGCGACATCCCACACTGGAGGAAGGATTTGGTGCTATGGGCCACGATGTCCTTGAGTTGCTGTGTTGTGGGGGAGAAAGGGTCTGAGGAAGCAGAGATCTAAGGCCTTTGAGGAAGCGGTAATGTTTCTGTTGGAGCCACTGCAGGAGTTTGTGAACAGGCGCAGGCAGGAGTCCAAGGAAAGGGAACAAATCAAGGGGGTATAAAAGGGATGGTTGTGAAGGAGCAGGGTACAGCCTAGGGGAGATCTGTGCTATTAACTAATGAAAGGTGAGGGCTGAGCTTTTTGTTGTCAGTGTTGTGAATTTATAGGCAGCACTGGGATCAGTCGTGTCTTTGGCTTGGGGATGAAAGTCTGTTTGGAGTGTTTTTCTAATACTTGAAGTTTGTTCGGCATCTGAAAAAATGGAAAGGGAACTGTTTTTACTGCCTTTTCAGGAAGGGGCACACTGATGCAGAGATTGAAGCAATATTTACCAAATATGACCAGGATGGGGACCAGGAATTGACGGAGCATGAACATCAGCAGATGAGAGATGACCTGGAGAAAGAGAGGGTGAGCTCAGCATTAGGAGTGGTATGCCACCAGTGCCATCTGTCAGTCTTCTCTCCATGCTGGTTTGCTGCCCCAGAAGAATCCTCTTCTTTCCCTTCACATTTGCTCTCATCCCTGGCTGTCTGAGCAAAGGTGTAAAAAGGCAAGGGGGAACTGATGGAGGGCAGGAGGTCTTTGACCTTGGCACCCCCATCCCCCATGTACGGGCGAAAGTCTTTACATCTTCTCTGTCTGTGGCTTGTGTTTTCACAAAGGAGGATCTGGACCTGGATAGGAGCTCTCTGCCACGTCCTCTGAGCAGCCGCAGCTTCCCCCGGAGCTTGGACGACTCTGAGGAGGATGAGGATGAAGACAGCGGACACAGCTCCAGGAGGAGGGGCAGCAGCTCTAGTGGAGTTTCCTATGAAGAGTTCCAAGTGTAAGTTTATCCTTCTGAGGGGGACGAATCTTCATGGTGTTTTTTTTTTATTTTCCTTGTGGGTTGTTTTCTTTCAGTTATATAGTGGTCTCTTCTATAACTCTGAATATTAATAAAATTATTCATAAAAGTAAATGTGCTTAAGGTGCTTTTAAGGTGCTTAAGTCACTCAATTTAGTAGCTTTCAAGTGATATCTGAACTGTACTTTAGAGAGGCTCATGGGAATCAGTTAGAAAACCAAAACCAAATTAAAACAAACAAACAAATCCTCAACAAAAAAACCCCAGTCCTTAAAACCTGGTCATTGAAAAGACAGAGAAAATGATCACGCTACAATAATGCCAGAAAACTTTTCTGGGTTGTTTTAGTAGTAAAACCTTGAGGTTGTTTTAGGCTCAGTGAGAACTACAGCAGTTGTTTTTAATAATCTGAAGTTACTTGTGAGTGTGTATTTTGTCTAAAATGATAAATCTCCATATTAATTATAGCAACACTAGCTGAATGAAGAATTTGAGTAATTAGAACCAACAAAGTTTGATGAGGATGCCCTAAAAGCAGGGAAAAGAGTGGAATATGTACTTCTTTTCCCATCTGCTTTACCCCTGTGTTATCTTCTTGCTCTTGTGTACCTTGTCCCTTTCTGGACAGTAGGACTCATTTGTGGAAAGTTAGATGCATGCTTGAATTAAAATGCTGTCTCATCCTTATCTGCTTTGTGTGTTGACATGCTAGAACAATACTGGTTCAGAAATGTCAGTGTCACTGATACTCACACTTGTTGCCCTCAGGCTCATGAGGCGGGTTGATCGCATGGAGCATTCCATCGGCAGTATTGTCTCCAAGATTGATGCGGTTATTGTGAAGCTTGAAGTGATGGAGAGAGCCAAACTAAAAAGGAGAGATATGTTGGGAAGACTGTTAGATGGAGTGACAGAGGTAAGAAACCCACTCTGTCCTGTCTGGTCACAACCCATGTGGGTTGCTTACTGGTAGCACTTCTTCCTGCTGTTTGGCTTGGGAGGGTTGAGGGGAGTGGTGGTAAAGATGAGGTGGGTGCTTTGGCAGCGGCCAAGTGATTTCAGTTTTGTGTTAGGAAAACACAAAATTTAAAACATGAAATGTTAGGGATATGATGCAAGTTTCAGATATAACAAGCCATCTTATAGCAGGCCTGTGTCACGCTGAGGGAACGGAGCACCATTTAAACTCCTGAACTGGACAGCAGTGGTGTTTGGTAGTTGCTGAAGCAGCTCATTCATCCCTTGCTGCATGTTGGGATTAATACAAAGCTTTTTATGGACTAGTCAGTTGGAGTCTGGAGGGATCCAGCCCAGCAGGCCTGTGCAGCCTGCTCTTCTCCCATGTTGCTTCTGGGATTGTGTGTGGCAGGTGAAGCAGGTCACTTCTGTCACCAGGATCGTCTAGCTTCTATCACCTCCCCTCCCACCCTCTCTTTCTTGAGGGCCCTTTGGAATTGTCCAGTGGCACAAATGTGTTACTTCTATGGACGCTAAACCTGTCAGCTTCCTGATGGGGAAAGAACAGCCAGAATGGGGCTGTTAAGGGGTGGGCGAGATAGACTGTCTTGGTGGGTTATGTAGGTCAGACCTGCAGCTGCCCTGTCGTAGATAACGGTGTTCCTGGTTGTTACTGCAGTTCCAGCCAATAATTCTGCTTGATTCTTGAGATGGGACTTCCTTGTGGGTGTGGTCTCCTCAGTGTATTTTACATTTTTGGAGATGGATTTAAATATTAGAAACTATAATACAAATTGTGCTTTCATAAGTGAAGGTGACAACCTGGGCTTTACATCACTGGAAAGAAAACCATTTACTGCAGTTGCTGTGGTTCTCCACTAGCCTATGGAAATACTTGAGTGGAATAAGAATTTCTCGTGTCTGTATAGGGTTTTGCTTAGACCGCAGTTTGGAAGCTGCGCTTCCAGCTTGTGTCTTTTTATCTGTTCAGGATGAAAGACTGGGTCGTGACAATGAAATCCATAGGGAACAAATGGAGCGACTTGTGCGAGAGGAGTTGGAGCGATGGGAATCGGATGATACAGCATCCCAAATGAGCCATCGGTTGGGAACACCACTTGGACTGAACGGCCAGCCTCGTTCGAGGAACTCTCGGCCATCTTCCTCCCAGTCAGATGGTATTGATGGGGGAGGAGGAAATGGGGGGAACAACATCCATGTGTAGGATTAACTTTGTAGGTAATTCCAAATGTTTCAGGTCAGTATTAAGCCAGCAAATACACTACTCCACTGTTTCCCAGCATGAGGTGATCATCCTGATCAGACCACTAAGAACAATTTTCACTGGTAGGCAAAAGTAAATATTCTATTCGTAAGGCATTTTCAGACCTATGTAAGCCATATGTCACATTCAAGTTACCAACAATGAGACCGTCAGCCTTGGAAATAAAAATGCCAGAGGCAGAATGGAAACTAGGTGTGACAAAAAGATACCTGGACAGAATTTGGGTTCCATACATGTATCATGGAGAACACTTTCATGAGGTCAGCAAGCTTCAGACAAAATAATGTGCTGTGGCTAAAATACTTGAAAGGCTGTTTTCTACTTTCTATTGGGAAAATATGATTTTTTTTAAAATGCTCTTGAAAGGAATTTTTAAAAGAAGATGGCATCAGTTTATTGTCTCATTCACTATAACAGCTGATGCTTTTCAAAGAGATAAAACAGCACTTTTTTTTCTTTTACTTTCTATTTTTCTGAGTTATTCTTGGTGTACTAACATTTTAATTAACTTAAAATGTTCATTTTTTTGCTGTCTTTCTACAACTGTAAATCACATTCTGTACTAGAAACTGTACACGTTAAATATTTTTGCATTTCATTAGCATTTCAAAAGTAATATTTGAGAACTGCCTCTTCACACTCAACTAACATAGTCATTTTCAGCTTTGTTGCAAAGCGCCTGTTTTTTTTAATGCTATGTTTTCATGATCTGGGCTGGTATGAACATTCCACAAGTTTTCTGCAAAGTAACCATATCTACCTAAAAATATATTATTTAAAAGCACACAAAACTAAAAAACACTAACTCTTCCTTGGGTATGACAGGAAGGGGGCCAGAGAAGTTGCTGACAGTTGGGAAAAATCCAGTCTTGTGCTCTATCAAGTTCTAATCACGTCTCCACTATGTAGTCTGTATTTACATTTAACAGAACTGTTTGTAAAATTAAGTATATTTCTACATATGCTTTTCTGCTGAGGTGCAACATGTGATTCTTTTGGAAAGATGTTTGTCGTACAATCACTGATTTTTTTACTATTTCTTTTCCTCTGCTTTCCATGTCATAGAAGCTTTGTTTCCGAAAGGAGATGCAACACTGAAATTACATTGGTTTCCTATAGAAAGTATTGAGGCATAGTGTTTGTAGTTTTGCCTAGCAACATGTTTCCATATGCCGGTTTAGGAGGGAGGTTGTCAATTGTGCTTTTTTCCTGAAGATGGCAGTTGTATTTAAAGACTTAAGAGTTGATGTGAAGGAAAATGGAAAGCTACATAGTCAAACATATTTTAGCTATTAGTAGGGTATATAGAGGAAAAAATGCCTATTTAACAGAGTATAAGTAGCACGTATATGGTACATTGGCACTTTTTGTTTCAAAAAGCAGTTGTTGCTAGGGTTTAGCACCTCATTCTTGGGATACTACTGCTTAGGCAATGCTTACATCTTGTATGTGTTCTTACAACTGCATTGCCTGGATGTACAATGACTCAGAATGCCTTTCCTCTAACCAGGGAACTTGCTAAAATGAAAGAGACTTCATGCCTTCCACTATTTTTCAGTTTATGACAAATCATATGCACAGAAACATAATTAATGTAAGGTAGAGCAGAAGTAGTTCAATATGGAGACTGGAACTTCTTAGTAGCTTTGGCTTGAGAACAGAAAGACATGGGAAAACAGGTTGTGATTCTTGTGAAGTATTTTTTTCCTTTCTGTGGGTTATTTTGTCCTGTACCGGGAAGAAATTCATACTCTTTCACAAGAGACCCCGTCAACTTCCCAAAACAGCACACAGCACAGTGGTCAGGGCATTTGTGTGAAATGAGAGATACTCGGACTAAGCTCTGTCTTGCCTTGATTGAAAGTTTTTGGACCTTAGAAACCTTCCTGAGGAAAGCTTTTCTGTGTTGAACTGGCATTTCTGGCTTGAAACAGACAAACAAAACAGAAAAACACTAGCTGTACACATGGGCAGCTGGTATGCAAGGAAAATAAAAAATACTATACAAAGCAATTTAAATACACATAGCCTTGTCTTTACACATTTTGGATATGAATATAGTGTGTTGGTATGTGACATGATTTACAGCTTAAAATTTGAGGCATGCTAACTAATTACATGTGTATAACGTGTAATTGCTGTTGGGTTTCTAGCGTCAAAGGTTACCTTAATGCTACCATAGTATTTAAATAATCATATACTTAAAATCAATGACTTTGGCCAAATGACCCAACTTGAGTTGTCCAGCAATCGGCTGGAACCTTACTAAGAATACCTTGTGTTAAGGTTTGTGCCTGTGGCCTGTAAAGCATGTGTCATGCTGAGGTTTATGGCAGCAGGGACTGGGGGGTGTGCAGAAGTGATCTAGTGGTGAGGCAGGGCCTTCCTGGGGGAAAAACAAGCAAAACTGAACTTGTCGGTATGGTTTTAAATAGGTTTCCTGTAAAAAAATGTATCTTTCAAAATGTAAATTCAATCACACAGTTCATCTTTTATTTGTAGTATATGTTTATTATGAAAATGTTTGCATTCATAGCTGTATTTGTTAAGGTACATTTCTGTAACGTGTCGTTACTTAATAACAAACTTCATCTTGAAGTGCAGTAAGTTTTCATGGGGTACCCGTGTGTGTTGACAATGGGCCTTGCCGTAAGTGCATAGCCACTTGACAAATGTTACAAACATTTTATTACTTCATTTTTCAACTTTAGATTATAATATCATTTGTCACTTATTGCAAAGGTAAGGTTTTTGCATAGTAATGTACAGTGTTTGGTCTTACTAGAAAGCTGTTAATTATGCAAGTCTTCTACAATGATCAAGAATGTATTGATCTGTAAAACTGAGCACTTTACTTCCTAATAAATGTTTTATACAATCTATAAAGCAAACATTGTGCCATACACTTGGTTTGTTTATAACGGAACGTGAAGAATCCTATATTTTATGTGTGTTACTTCTATCTCGTACCTCATTCTCAGATTACCCAATAATGTAAAAAGCCAGTACAGGGTGTAAATGAACAGAGGACTGGATGGATCCTGCTTGCTTTATTACCCAAACAGTACTTTTTTTCAACAGTTTATTCCACATCTGTGTTTGTGCAAATGCACAGGTCTGTTTTCTGCTATTTCAGGTAGCAGCTCCAACTGCTAACTCTCTCCCTTTATTACTTCACAGTTGCTGTGTAAGTTCTCTACTCTTTTTCCCTATTCCCCTTTAATTTTTCCCTTTGTTTCAGGGAATCCTACAGCATCTGGAGGGGAGGGTTGAATGGTCCTTGGTAATCCCAGGCTCACATATATAAGCTCCATAGTTCTGTCTGCACACCACAACAAAAGTATACCTTATTAATGAAAATCGAATGCTTAATGTAAATCCATCTCAGTCTTTAATGAAATACATACATACTGAGTTTATTAAGTATATTAAGCCTTTAGACAGTGCGCTATAAAAGTCACAGTGTGTGGGAAGTGGGAACCTTTTTTAATTTAATACTGTGTGTATGCTATAGTGTTGCTAACTTTTGAAAACTTCTTCAGGAAGTGCAGTTTGAGATGCATGTTTAGCAGAAGAGCCACATAATAATTCTTCCATATCCATGGCCATCACTTGGATATCTTCTCTATTCAAATGCTCTTCTCCAGTAAATCTAAACAAGAAAAAAATCTGAGAAAAAGGGAAAAAAGTTAATGTTATGATAAAACGTTTGCAAACAATTGTTACTTGTATATTTAGGCACCAATGGGGCTTTTTTGGTTCCCCGCTTATATAGAACGAGCAGTGTGAGTGAAGAGGATAGCAATTGGAGGTGGAGGAGTTCTGCAAGTACTCCTTCAGGAGGTTTATGCTGTTTGTGTCTCTGGCCCCTCCCCATACAGCATCTCTGGCCTTGCTGGGGTCCCCAGGACAGCGGTGAGCTCCCTAGGACACACAGGTAATTGGTGGCGGGAAGATACATAAGCAGCACTGCTTTCAAGAGGGAAGGCAGAGCCTAACATTTCAGAGATGGCTGAAGTCACGTCAGTCTCTTTTCCAAACTGAATCGCTGAAATTCTGGTGCTCGTAAACCATTATTCCCTTTCTGCACGCAACCTGAATTAATTCAGAAGCACAGTTGTCTGATTAATTAATTCTGAAGCACTGTTTTGCTAAAAACGTTTTTTAGTAGTAACTCAGATTATGCCCTGTTTTTGCCTGAAAGATGCTGTCGATGACTGGAAGAAAAATCAGTTCTCAATTGCTAGCAAACAAATGATGAAATATTTTTTACAAAAACATACTAAATAAAAGAAAACATTACTGCTTACCCCTTCAGTAAGAGTTTAGTTCATGGTCTGGATCTTCCAGAAAAGATAGAATATTGTATTTCAAAAGAAAATAGTTTGCAAAACAAACCAGTCTACTACAATGGAGAAATGCAGAAAAAGCTGCCAGAAATGCTATTCTCTTTGTGCAATCTTAACAAAAATAGCAGCTGTGTGTGCCTGTATGGAGAGTGGTATGATGAAAACTCTGAGAAACACTCAAAACAAAAAACTTGCTTCTTTCAGGCTAGACTTGCAATTACCAGTTCATTCCAACATCTGAGGTAAGCACACTTTTGTACTGCTATCAGCTTTTCCAGCAGCTGAGATGGATGCTGTAAAACCGAGTTCCCTGACTCCCCAGTTACAGATGGCTGTTTGCTGAGAGATGTAGTTGTGAGAAACCTTAAGCTGCAGGAAAGCAGACCTGATGCACGTTGGGGACACTCAGCATTTAGCTGTGAGCTGCCGGGGCCACCACTGCAGACCCAGAGGAACAGCCGACTTCAGCGATTGCCACGGCCGGGTCTTCCTGGGCAGTCTCCTTCCCCAGCTGGCAGCGTCCAGCCTCTTCACTCCCTCCCAGCCATCTCCTGACCCAGGAGGAGACAGCTGCAGATCTGAAAAGCTCTC